TGGTGGTGGTGGTGGTGTCGTCGGTGTTGTTGTCGGTGTTGTTGTCGTAGTTGTTGTCGTTGCCGTTTGATCCTGGCACACATACTGACCGAGCCCGCGTCAAAGTGCCTAAACTCTGCACATTCGATGACCCTTGAAGCTTGAGTAAGACGCCAGAGCAAGCAGCAGTTTGCGAGTGTCATCTTTTCTTCGGGTTTAATGTTCAGTTGTATTGTGCTCATTAATTATCACAGCCATGTTTGTGCCAGGTCAGTCGCAGTAGCAAGACTGTCACGCGGAGAGTCAGCCGTGGTGACAAGTGTAGGGAACCAGAGGAGTGTAACGACCACAGGCTCATCCCGCACTCGAGCTCCAAAGCTTTGTTGGAACACCTGTTGACAGGAGTGGTGCCAGTTCCGTGGATTCTGCGAGATCGGCAGATACAAAGACTCTGGTCTTCATTGGATGTCGTTTCAACTGGGCGTACAGCGACAACCGTGTCAATAGTCACGTAGTCGCAGCTGTGCTGCGGGCTGTGCTGCCACGAACAATAGCGACATGTGGATACTCATAGTACAAAATGCTATACACTTGTTCTTGCTTCTAGCTAGTAGTCGCTAGTCATCCCAAAGTACATATGGCTCTGTGGCTTGAGCTGTTTTGATTGGAGACTCAGGCGCCATCGAATCTTGACCTTAAACTTCCAAGCATACAACAAGTACCTATCCTGGGGCCGAGTGTCCATAGACAATTCCTACTATGGGCTCGTTGGAGACTAGAACCTAAGCCTTGAATCCTAAAGCGCCTAAACCCCCCGAAGATCCGAAACCAACCGAGGATTACTTTGCGCTGGACAACTTGTGTCTCGGCCGACTGCAAGTTTAGGGCCTGAGGTTTCAGAGTCCATGGTTCGGGTTTAGGGTTCGGGGCGCATTTGTGGTTGAGGGTCTGTGCTGCTGCTGCTGCTGCTGCAGCTCTTTAACAACCATGTCGACATTGACAGCAGCAGCGGCAACACCAAGGGCAGCCACACTACTTGACGGAACCAACATAGAAAGAAGAAAGCACAACCGTAAGCAGAATGCATTGTGCCAGGATTTGCAAGAACAAACAGCAGCAACGGCAACGACAGCGGACAGCAGCAGCAACAATGAATCCAACTGCAGTCAGGCGACAACAAGAAAGGAGCAACTGCAACAGTAACACTAGTTCGTGTATCGGCAGCACTGTCCGCAGAAACATGACGAATATAGCCGCAGGCAGCACTGCCGTCCGCGAGCAACGACCAACAGATTGTCGGAATGGTCCCATGAAGCATATCAAAGCCCTAAACCCTAGACCCTAAAACCCTAAACGCCCTAAACCCTGGACGCCCTAGACTGCAAAAAACCATTCAGAATGTTGAATCCAGGACCTCCGGGCCATAGCTTCTGATGCAAAGATGGAGAAGTGGAGCATAAGAATGTTGCTGATAAGGTCGCTTCACGGGGCGTGCTTTTGGTGTGACCCGTATAGAAAGCATGCCTGTAAGGCCCTAAAAAGCTTTAAAGCCTCCGCTATAGTAACCCTTACCCTAATCCCCCCGGTACCTACTATATAGGGCCCTAGGGGCTCTAGTACTCTATATAGTAGGTACCTGGGGGGCAAGGCCTATGTTGGCCTAAGTTGTTACGGCGTCTTTGAGCTTCATGAGTCAGTCTTGGTTGGTCACATGTCTCTGCTGAGATGATTCCTTCATCGCGGTCTACGTCGCCGAGCAGGGCCTTTGGGGTATCGTGACAACAGACTACAATTCCGGTACCTCGCAACCCTCAACTCTAAACCGTCGCTCCGAGCATCAGCATCCGGATGGACTGATCTCGTGTGATCCTGTAATCATTCCGATGGCTCGGCTACACAAACATGGCATTTAAATTCAACACTCTCAAGGACCCTATAAGCCCTAAACCTCTCTGAAAGGACCCAACCTTGTTTTACCGACCGAGCTGGAATTTTCTGTGAAGAAGAGGACTTCGGCACCTGGGAACCTGCCCCTACCCCTGGTTCAACCGTTTAAGGAAGAGGCCTGGCCCTAATCATTCGAACCAGGGTTTGAGGAGGTGTTGCCCCCCCTCTTGCGCTGCGGCGCACCGCATTTTTGAAGTGGAGAGAGCTGAAATGACATGGCCTAGTCCCACTGACCGGCCAGAGGAGAGCGAAAGTTGCAAACCCTCTCAGTAGTTCGATAGGGAATACCTTATGGGATTCTAAATATGAGCCCCAAAAAGGAACTACTATGGGGCCTATGGGTAGCTAGAGGTTTATGGCTTTCCCTCTCTATCTCTCTGTCTGTGTCTCTGCCTCCCCTTTACACACTGGTGCCGACTCATCTGTCTACCTAGACGTCCGTCCTGGGCTTCAACTTGTATGGCTGCATCTATGTATGCACCCATCATACGCTACAGTCTCTGTGTGTGTGTGGGCCTGTGAACACGTGTCGACATGCGTGTATGTCTTTGCATGCTTGTTTGTGTAGATACTGTACTTCCCTTCAACCCAATTCGCCCCAACTGAAGCAAAACACGTACTGTGCATGGCATATCCAGTAAAACTATTGCTTACAGACTTCCTGATTAGAACCACGTAGAACTGTACGATAATGCACCCCCCCCCCCCCGCCAGCAGCCTATTCTAACCGTAAAGCCCCCTTTCTTACACCCTGAACCAGTTGCCCTAAGGTCAACAGACTTGCTGTTCGGCTTCAACATCTCATGCCCCAGGGCTCCTTATTCTAAAGAAGTATACAGTATAATTCACGGTTTAGGGTTTAGGGTTTAGGGTTTAGGGTTTGGGGTATAATGTACCCGGCACCCCTAATCTAATTCATTGTTAGGGCTCCTCTACTTGTAGTAGCCTTGCTCAATTCTAATCTACAATCCCCTTCAGTACCTGTTTAAACGAACCTTACGCTAACTCTCAAGGCTCCCATTTTACAGCGAGATCCTCGTCTGCTCCGAGTTGGCTGAACAAAGCGCTCATCTTCTTCAGATGCGCCTCCTGAAGTTTTGAGTTCTGGGGTTCAGGGTTGTGGGTGTAGGGAACCCCTCAGGTGGTAGTGGGTCTGCGGCGTAGGGACTGTAGAGTGCTTTTCTGTAGCCTTCTACTGCTGGATTGATAGTCGATTTGCGGCTGCGCACACGTGCGAATGTCTCTCCTTTCTCTGCACTCATCTCCGCAGCCTCCATATGAATATACTACAGTATGCCCCAACGACCTCGTAGAATCAATAAACATAAGGCCACCATACCATCTGCCTCGGGAGCGGCTCAGGTCTGTAAGTACGCATGTATCCATGTACCTTTGTGTCTTAAATACATCACTACTTGCCCTAAACCCTAAACCCTGAACCCTAAACCCTCGCCCTAAACCCTAAGCCCTAAATTCTAAACGTGAACAATGAACCCGTCGACAGAGTTTGGCAGGCACAGAGCTGGACATGAGGTTGGAAGATGAAAGGGCGTAATCTCGGGGCTTAAGGTTTAGGGTTCAGGGGTTCAGGGGTTTAGGGGTTTAGGGGTTTAGGGGTTTAGGGTTTAGGGTTTTGGGGGTTCCCGATTATAACTATATTAGTATCGTATACCTGCAAACCCTATGTATTCTAGATTGGGCTGCCTTATTATAATGATAGTAGAATATACCCTTCCCTGACGATATAAATCCTGCATTACCCACAACAAGGAATATACCATCAATCACCATGACTCTGATAGTTGAGGGTCCTTAAGGTAATGCAGGTTTTATGTCATCAACAGTAGGGTTTAGGGTTTAGGATGAACTCTCCGACTGCATGTCGACTTTATATCTGACATTTACTTTACATTCGCACTAATGACACACTTTCCTACGAAGAGTGACATTAAGACGCCTGCAATCCTGAGAAAGACCTGCAGCACCCGAAATTTTAGATGTAACCCTAGACCCTGAACCCTAAACCCCTGCTCCTTGTTTGCCAGCATGGATTGGATGACAGCAACATGGTCGTTTTGCGCATTGTCCATGGCCTTCCTGGCAGAAACACCGGACAACACAGGTTTAGGGTTTAACGGTTTAGGGTTTAGGGTTTAGGGTTTAAGGTTTAGGGTTTGAGGGTTTGAGTTGAGTTTAAGAGGTGTTAAATTAAGCCCTAAATTAGGGCTTAAGGTTTAGGGTTTCGGGGAGTTTAGGAGTTAAGGGATGAAGGTTGCATCTAGCTGCATCCGAAGCCCCTCCAAGGTCTAACGCGGCCTTGATTCCCCGAATCTGTAGACCTCGCCGAATCACCGTAAAGCACAGAATCGGAAGCCTAAACCCTAAACCCCAAACCCCCACTGCAGACCCGCACCACTACCATTCTCAGGCTCTCGGAGTGTCTCTCTTGTGACCCTCGGTTGTCACCCTCGGGAGTGCAGGCCGGTAATTATGCTGCACCTGCCCTTCTTAACTCACGAATGCGGATTGCGCACGCAACTGCGCAGGAAGCGGTGCGATGCTAATCCGAACAATGTGTGAGCAGTAAGGTAGAACGTACCCTGAAGCCATCATCAAAGACCAGGTTGCACAAAAGAATCCTGACGCCTTCGCCATCCTCACTCCAAACACACCCTAAACCCTTAACCCTTTATAAACCCTAAACCCTAAAACCTTAAACCCTAAACCCTAAGCCCTAAACCCTAAACCCAAGACCATCACTGCAAAGCCGCTGACAGAAAACCGCCGTGACCACATTCCTCGGTAGCACTTGGGGTCAACATGTTTGCCAACGCCCCTATCAAAAATCCTATCCCAAAGGGTCCTATAAGTATCTAGAATGTAGAGTCTTTATATAAGGAAGTATTATAATATGATTTGGGCAAGTAATCCCCATAACAGTATCTATATAGGACCCTTTGCGCATGTGAATCTGCTCTTGGGCAGACACCTTGTAAGACCTCGTTTTTGGATGTCATGTCGCGCAATAGGAGGACTGGTCCTAAGCGCCAGACCTACGAGGCAGATAGGCTCGAAGCCCTAAACTTGTAAAGCTCAAACGTATCTTGTGACAGGGCAGTGAGTGTTGTTCAGCTTGTTTTCAAAGGCTGGGCCTTTGAGGCCAAATCCTTATAAAGATGCGTGATATCTAGTCTTCGGGCACGAAACGTTCGTAAGCTCATAAACCCCTAAACCCTAAACCCCTGAACCCTTAACCCTAAACCCTGAACGTCTTGTTGGAATGCTGTCCGCTGGCAGGACTGCAAAGTACGTGAACGACATGTACACGAGGAAGGCGAACACCCATATCACCTCAGTCAGGGTGAATACACTATACCCATAGGCCCCATAGTAGTTCCTTTTTGGGGTTCATATTTGGAATTCTACAAGGTAATCCCAAAAAGGAACTACTATGTGGCCTATGGGTATAGTATATTTATCGTATTAAGTGAATATATAATGGTATATTATCGTACAAATGAATATATTATTGTATCTTATCGTATACCATAGTATATTCTAGTTTCTAATCGTATGGTGAACTGTAGTATTTCGTTGTAGAATAGCAAGCAGTATGGCATCGGGCCATGGTAAACCTGTTCCTACGGTCTTTGACAAAGACCACGATGACGACAAGGGGTGTTTAGGGTTTCGGGTATAGGGTTTCGAGTTTAGGGTTTAGGGTCTATAGCCCTTAGCATCAAAATAGCCCAAAAGCCTTATATGATGGGGTCTTTGGGCCCAGCCTTAAAACATGAGTCCCTTGAGGGTAAGGGTAGGGTTTAGGGTTTAGGGCCCCGCCATGGCGCGAAGTGACACATTCACTAAGTTCCCCAGTAGCGCTTAACAATAAGGGTACCCTTTTTCCTACTATTTGGTTTTAATAAGGGGACCCAAAAAGAGAAAAAGGGCAAAATGGTACTACTGGGGAACCTAGTTCAGCATACACCGCTTGCGTGGGACATGTCAGGACAGGAGAAGAAATCGCTTTGTGTCACCGAGCTGCCTCTGCATGTTCTTCCCTAACCCCCCAGGTACCTACTATATAGGGCCCTAGGGGCTGTAGTACCCTATATAGTAGGTACCTGGAAGGTTAGGGCTTTATTCCCGCTTATGAACAATAATATGTCAGCTCTCCACGGACACATGGGGGTTCCCGAAAATAGGGGACCCGAATATAGTGCCCTGAATAGTAGGATCCTAATTAATTATAAGGACCACAAAATAAGGTACCCCGTATTTTCGGAAACTCCCACATGCACTCGAACAGCCAGCGCACTCCGACGGCTTTCAGCGGCGAAATCACCTGCGCGGCCCCAAACAGGCAGGCTCTCTCATTTCGAACTTCGGTTTGGCTGGTGGGTTGCGTTCAGGATTCATGACGGAACTTTGTCTAGATCCATACTTTAAACTACATTCCGTAAGGGTCCAAGTACCCAAATAGTAGGGTTTCAAGGTCCAAAAACCATTCAGAGTATGGATTTTGGGGCCTAAAACCTTACTATTTGGGTACTCGGACCCTCTGGGATTATGCTTTTTTGAGTTACAAAGTCTACTATATATTATGTATCGTATTCTGCCCGAGTAGATTAAATTAGATTAGATTAGATTAGATTAGATTAGATTAGATTAGATTAGATTAGATTAGATTAGATTAGATTAGATTAGATTAGCTTAGCTTAGCTTAGCTTAGCTTAGCTTAGCTTAGATTAGATTAGATTAGATTAGATTAGATTAGATTAGATTAGATTGGATTGGATTGGATTAGATTGGATTGGATTGGATTGGATTGGATTAGATTAGATTAGATTAGATTAGATTAGATTAGATTAGATTAGATTAGATTAGATTAGATTGGATTAGGTTAGATATGAACTGATTGTATTATAACCGCGGCGAAACATTCCAACCTGTTGCTGGGATTAGCTTCAGAGGTACGAACCCTGAACCGAGGAACTTGCAAATGGGTAGTTCTCTAAATTAGGGTCCCTTTTAGGTTCCTTTTGACAATGGTGCCGTACTATTTTGGGGACCTGAAAGGGGACCCTGATTTAGAGAACTAGTTACTCAAATGTCAGGCACACTTATGCAAAGGAACGTCTGAAGGAAAGCTGGATGCCTCAGGCACAGCTGAAAAAGATTCAAAAGCGCGCGGTCACGTAATCCATAAAATCTGCTGCCTCATCACCGTTATGGTTCTGTTGGCCGGCGAGGTACTCGGCTAGGCTCCCTTCGGGAGCAGCACTGTAGCAGAATGGTATCTCGCCAATCAGAAGCAAATCTCGGCTGCCGTTCTGCGATTGAACGACCTGGATCGTGCCCTTGACCAGATCACAAGGATGCCTGAGCTGTATAGGGTTTAGGGTTTAGGGTTTAGGGTTTAGGGTTTAGGGTCTAGGGTTTAGGGGTTTAGGGTCAGTAACCAACGTAGTTATTATATTAGGGAAAAATACCCAACGACAGTAAAAAACGGATACTACTGAACATCCTAGATGCCCTGCATGGATCCGAAGTTCCAGTGCTGAGAATGACAAAGCTACATGCCCGGACTGGCTCTCGACCCAGCACGTTTCCAGAAGATCTAAGCCCTCGCTGGACAAAAGGTCCTCTATACGCTTGCCGACGTAGGCGGGCTCAGAGGAAGTGCAGACAATCTGCAGGTTCATATCGATCTCGAGCGAGACCATTTTGTTCGAATCCAAGCGAGCGACTCTGATAGTGTGTGTCCGCTGCTCCGAATTGCCATCGGCGGGCTGTGATTCTATGGAGCTGCATGTCGCGGCAGACATGGGTGTGTAGGTTCGTGGGATGATGGAGAAACTCTCGGCGGCTTCGCTGCGACATATAGGGCCTTGGTCTGTAACGTCGCGCAATCCGATGAGGTGCCTAACACGACCTTGCAGTGTGTGATAGGTCACCTGAAAGACTTCCGTACGGAATCGGTTTGCGTCGCTGTCCACCAAGTGTGTGTGGAAGGCTTGAGCCTTCAAGCTGTCAGAAGGATGATCTTCAAACTTCCGCAGCAGCTCCGCTGCGCGGCCAGCCTCCGCAGCACCAGGTATTAGGTCCGTGAAGTCCATACCTGCCAGGGTTGTACCTGGCCTGTCCCTCAGCAGCATAGCAGCGAGTGCAGGCGAGTGCTCTGCGATTTGCAGATCTGCATCCAGCTCAACGATGGAGTCACAGACCAGCTGCAGTAGAGAAGAGGAGGCGTTAAAGTCGGCTGTCATCTTCCCATATTGGAGATTGCGCTCCACGCGGCTTTTCACCAGTAACTGGACTGCCACCGATGTACAGACGGTTGCAATGAAGCCACTGACTTCGACAACAACACTGACATCTAGGGCTGATGTCGTACTTGCACGGATCAATGCCAGCAGTAGGGGAAGCACATTGCAAAAGACAACCAAAGCAGGCGTGCAATCACCACCGCAGGAATTCGACCAAAAGCCAGAAAGCAAAGCTCCATCAGCAAGACTCTATCAAGTTGCACATGCCATGGAGACAAACTCACGGTGGCGTAGAGGGACACCAGCACGTACAGGGCATTCAGCCTCCCAACAGTAAGAATCGCCGGGCAGCTGTCGATAAGCATGAAGACTCCCAAGCCCGACAGCATCGTCCCCTGGATCGTGGCTGATGTGGTCAAGCTGACATCTCGTGCTACACGCCACTGCTGAAGAGCGAAGCCTGTGCACAGCAGCGCGCAACAGTACCGAACGAAGATGCGTGTCATCTCCAGGTGGAGTTGGCTCGCCCTTTCGAGGACAACCCTCTCATCTTCTGAAGGGGTGGATCTCACACATGCCCGTCTGATCGACGTTAAACACCTCTTGGTCGTGTGCAGAAAGTGTTGTCGATGCAGGGAGCAGCTGCGGATCATCCGCCCTGCAAAAATCGTCTGAAGGAACGCCGCTAGAGCGAGAACGATGAGAGTGGCATCCCTACTGGCATCCTGGGAAAGCGTTCCGGACTCCATGAAGCTGCAGACGCAAGCGCCGTGTCGACACTATTTATACGTCCACTTTGTGTTGGGCCAGAAAATGCATCTGTGGAAGCACTCCTCGACACGCCTGCGCTCAACTCCACGTCTACACCCCTAACTTCAAGATGCCTCATGCAGCTGGTCGGGGCCTCCTCCCAGCTGACGCCCCCCGAGACCGACATGAAGAGACTGAGCATGGTGTCTGCCACGGAACCTCAGTTGACATAAACGGCTGATATTTTTTAACAAAAGTCCTGAGACTCTGTCTGACAATGAGAGCCTACAAACTCTAAGCTCAGAAACCCCTAATTCGGCAATGACAGCCTATAAACTCTAGGCTCAGAAACCGATACTTCGGCAATGACAGCCTATGCACTCTAAGCTCAGAAACCCCTACTTCGGCAATGACAGCCTATAAACTCTAAGCTCAGAAACCCCTACTTCGGCAATGGCAGCCGATAAACTCTAAGCTCAGAAACCCCTACTTCGGCAATGACAGCCTATAAACTCTAAGCTCAGAAACCCCTACTTCGGCAATGACAGCCTATAAACTCTAAGCTCAGAAACCCCTACTTTGGCAATGACAGCCTATAAACTCTAAGCTCAGAAACCCCTACTTCGGCAATGACAGCCTATAAGCTCTAAGCTCAGAAACCCCTACTTCGGCAATGACAGCCTATAAACTCTAAGCTCAGAAACCCCTACTGCGGCAATGGCAGCCGCTAAACTCTAAGCTCAGAAACCCCTAATTCGGCAATGACAGCCTATAAACTCTAAGCTCAGAAACCCCTACTTCGGCAATGACAGCCTATAAACTCTAAGCTCAGAAACCCCTAATTCCCGAAAGGCCCGTTTCCCGGAAAAGGATACAGCAGGGGGGGGGAGCCGCTAAGGGCGCAAAAAGCCTTTGGACGTGATCCAGGGTTTAGGGTTTAGGGGTTTAGGGGTTTACAATGTAGATGCTTGACATTTGCGGAGCTTTGCTCAGAAATCGCGAGACCTAGACCTTCAGACCCTGAATCATACAACTCAGTCAAGCAAGGGCTGCCAAAGAGCTGAAGTAGGCCAGGCTGGCCTCATGATCCTCCGGCAGATGCGGTTAAGGTTCAGAGCTTGAGGTTCAAGGTTTAGGGTTTTAGTGTAATATAGGGGCCTTAATAATTGGAATAAGGTTTTGGGCCCCATTATACTATAGTTATAATAAGGAACGCCCCAAAATAGTATGTGTCATTATTTAGGCCGCTACATTACGGAGGTCGAGGATACAACCGCTCCAACAAACACTGAATAAGGGTCCCTTTTAGGGTCCTTTTATAAGGGTGGACCTGAAAGGGACCTTACTTTAGAGAATACCCATGTGGAAAGTGCCATATCGGACGAACACAGTGAATGACCAACGCTTGCAACTTCGGCGAGCTTTGAAGTATTGAGGAAGGGGGGGCTGCCTAGGACCAATCATTCTCGAACGCTTCTGCTTCGGACCTACTGTCTTGTACTCTTGCCCTAACCCCCGAGGTACCTACTATAGGGCCCTAGGGGCTCTAGTACTCTATATAGTAGGTACCTAGGGGGTTAGGGTTGACCATCGTGAACGAATCGGGTCGTCAAACTGATGAAACACGCAACAGCCCCGATCTGATCACCGCCGAGTCACTTCTGCGGACAACTGGTTACCATCCAGGATGTAGCCGTTCACAGCCTACTCATGCATGCCAAATTATGAGCGAGCATAAAGACTTGCCAGATTTCGTCAGCGCACTTCTTAGGCCGTTGGGCTTACTGCTTCCAGCAATAACTGGGTCAAGGACGCGTGTTTGACCACGGCCTCGCGCTGTGGCAGTGATACATGCCACAGCGGTATCGACAAACGCGGCAAAAGATGGATTACCAGCCGGCTAGACTCACGCAAAAGATGTGTGAGCAAGGTGAGCTTTCTTGTCCAAGCTCGGGTCATTATCATAATCACAATCTCTTGATGCAAACTACAGCCCACCTGCGTGAAAAGTACAGCGAACACGTACCTGCGAAAGCTGTGCAGACTCATAGACTGTGGGATTGCCCGCAACGCCGGAGTGAAATGCAGAAGACGGCGTCATCGACAGAAGCCCAAGCAACAAGAAAAGGAAAAGGCACGGACCAGTTCGACTTCGTTCGAGTTCCCCATAACATGGTTTGCCTACCTAACTGCTTTGACTTCGGATTGACATCACTTTGGATGTTTTGGCTGGCATGTGCATAGGCTTTCCCCTTGCATCACTGATATAGGGGCCTTAATAATTAGAATTTGGGGTATAGTGTACTACAATTACAATAAGGACGCCCCCCCCAAAAAAAAAAATAGTACAGGTAATTATTTAGGCTTCTATATTACCTTATGCCCGACAAAACCTGACTGGCGTCTGAAGGTTTGGCGTGGCGTGGCTTGGCTGGGCAGCTTGTCGGGAGAATAACACAGTCTATAAGAATAACAAAGATGATATTAACAATCGTAGCAATATTTCTGAGAATTTTCACAAGTATAGCTGTATAGTCTTTAATAGCAATATTCTTAATAAGCATATTCATAATAAAGATATTCATAATAAAATAAATGTACCATAGTCAGGAGAGTAATCACCATAAAAATTAGCCATCATAAGAATGTTCTTCAAAATAAATATAATAATCACAATGATACTCATACTAAACGAATACAAAAATCATAGAATGAACAATGATGATACTGTTCATCAAGGAAACATAGGAAAGATCACACCACGGACCCTAGCTAGACCCTTATATACCTTTTCAAGGACTTATATAAAGAACTCATAGTAAGGAACCCCCCACAACGGTAGGTTCTTTAGGCTCCACATAAACCCAAAGCCCTGTCTTGTCTTGCCTGGTCTTGGCTTATCCCGCCTTGGCGTAGCCTGGCCTGGATCCTCAAAACGACCAGGGCTTAAGGTTTAGAGTTTTGGGGTGTAGGATTTAAGGTTTTCGGGTTTCAGGTTTAGGGCTTAAGGTTTTAAGGTTAATAATTTAGGGTATGAAAACACAACGAACCCACAACGGGCAAAAGGCTCCAGAGTTGGAACGTTCGACCGGAAGTTCTGAGAACTTAACGTTGGAAGATTGCCGGAAGTGTGGACACAACCATATATATATATATATATAATCGATGCGTCATTTATACTGTGATATACATGAAACACCCCCAATTAAGCCCTGTTCTGGCTGTTAAGGCCGCTATATTGAGTGCCGAAGCCGGCGTCACTTCAGCAGGGGTGGCGCCTGGTAGCCTAAGGCCCAGCTTTTCCCCAAGCCTTAGGGGTATGTGGCTTCAAAGAGTAGGTAATCAGGGTTCAATGGAGGGTGGATGGACCCTAAACACTAAACCCTAAACCCTAAACCCTAAACCCTAAACCCTGAGGGTCAAGGTGGAAAGTTGGCGCCGCGCACATGATGAGCACCAGGAGCAAGAGTGCCCAGCAGAGCGACTGAATCGTATGGAGGATAGAAGTGATCAGCGTTCCTGAGCTGCATTGCAGTGTATTATGCCATGCTACACTATGCTATAGCATACCAAACCACACTATACTATGCTAGACTACCCATAAACCCCATAGTAGTTCCTTTTTGGGGTTCATATTTAGGATCCTATTAGGTAATCCCAAAAAGGAACTACTGACCTACACCCTACGCTTTTGCACAGGTCGCGAGACTGCAGCATCCTCCAACCGGACTCGGTCACATATTAGTATGGGAACTGCGAGGGAAGCTAGGAAATGAGGTGCGTGTATGTTGGAGTATAGTTTCATGCAAGCATAAGAAAATTCCGAGTACTATAGGAACTAGAATACATTCAGGCCTCCAATGAAATACCAAGATGCCTCCATCCGGGAGCAGACTTTTAGCCCTCTTTTAACCCGAAGATCTTTTGTCCGAACACTTGGTTGTAAGCTCCGTGGGCAGGGTATTAGGGCATTAAGGTTGAGTCAGAGTTTAGGGCTTCACGGCTTGAGGCTTTAGCTTTTGGGGATGTCGGGTGTGGGGCTGGAGGTTTAGGATTTCAATTTCGGGCTTTGGGGTTTGGGAGGCTTCCGAGGCCCCCTTTCTCGCCAGCTTCTCGGATTCAGCATCACAAATCCAATTTCTAGAAAACGTTAGACACAAGCTGAATCCCGCTCGAAGTCTGAGCTTCCTGGTGTATAGGAATGCATGATTTCGGTCAGCGGCGTTTGGAATAGGAGAGGAATGCTCTCCGAGGTCAAAGCATTCATGGGGTTAAAGGTGGGCTAAGATGGAATGATTGCCTTCTCATCATCATCCGATCTACTTGCAATCCAAAGCACCTGGGTTGCAACACGCTTTCTTTCTACGTCCGGTGCTGGGCTTGGGGAAGTTTGGGTCGGCCTAGTGCTGCCCAGTTTTCGGAATGCCATCACGAAGCGGAAGACCCGCAGAATTCCTCCGCTGTGCACAGGCTAAATAAACTGGGAGCTCTTACTCGAACCGGCGTTGGCCTTGTGCTGCAACCTAGACCCACAAAGCATCTCACAACCACTGCGGACTGCAATTTCGATTTGCCAGAGGCGCCTACCACATCATGACCGTTGAGGCCACAAGCGTGCCGCTGCCCGAGCAAGAGCCAATTTCGACATGGCATCTTGGACGCAAGCCAAGCATCGCACAGTCTTGACAATGCGCGTGATGCGGATGATTCGGAACCTTGCTCGGCAGCAGCAGCAGCAACACCACAAGAGCAGCATAAAGCACCTGGAGGGGCAGCAGTATGATGACCAGCATCACCACAACCATATCCTTCATCACCATCAACACCAGCGGCAGCACAATCACACAGAAAAAAACAGGAATCCTGTTCATGTACGAAGAGAAGTTGTAACAACCACACGAATGGTAATCATCGTGATCAAGACATTACAATAAGTTATAAGTTGTTGTATTGCTAGCAGTGAAATAAAGAGTGATCACAGGAGCAATAATGGCAATTATGGTGTGTCCGATGTCTAACACCGGATAAGAAAACCCTAAGACACATCACCCAGAAACGAGCATCAAATATCTGACAATTACACACCTATATATATATATATATGCATACACATGCATACACATGCACACATGAGTATGAGTATCTAATACATCCAATGATATCTAACAACGAATTCTGTAGCACGCCTGTTCTGGCATGCTGTGGCACCGATCGGGCAAACAGGCGAATGATAAAGCATCATGAATCTTGTTGCCTACAAATGCAGGACTTGATTGGGTGTCACCTGGCTGCAGACATCGATAGGAGCGTGCGGTATTTGCATTGAATCAAACTTCCATTTTATTTGCTGCCAAGCCCGAAGAAGTGAAACTAGACCGTCTTGGATCAGAGGACACTTCCCTGAAAGGACTTCCGAGTCTAAGAGCCGAAATCGACCAAAATCTGAACGCTGTAAATAGAGTGATGTACTACTGATCACTAGTAATCATTTAGACACGTTGGTCCCCCCCCCCCCACTTAAGCATAACGACAACGAAATCTTGCATGTCCCTTGAAGACCTGAGCCATGTTGATCTCAGGCACACTTAGGACCCCAAAAGTAACTGCTAAGACCCCCTGTGGAATCATTACAGCCACACAGTACACTTATGCATGCTTTCAAGAACCCTGAACCCTAAACCCTAAACCCCAAAAGCCCTAAATCCCTAAACCCTAAATCCCTAAACCCTAAACCCCTAAACCCTAAGCCCCTATAAACCCTAAACCCCCAAAGAACCCGTAGAGAACCCAGGTGGAGCTCAGACACGCTTTGAAGCCCATGACCCCAGCCAGCGCAGGGTTCTCACTTGCGGATTCTTCTTGGAGGTAAAACCTGAGCTCCTTTACGTTTCTTTGAGGTGTGGTTTAGGGTTCGGGGTCGTTTTAGATACAATGCGTCCCTTTCTGTTGGTGCCCGGGCAGCAAGGGCAACTTTCAGTAGCATACAACGAGAAGACCTTCAGGCATGACTCAAACTGGGATTTTGATTGTAAATCTCTGTGCATTTCTCCAAGGTTTTGCCCGTTTGCGAGATCGGGTAATCTGAAGCCTAAACCCTAAACCCTCAGCCCTAGGTTCAAGTTGGCTGTTCTTCACTTCGCTAGGGTTCAACATTTCAAAATCTGCCCATCGCTTCAGGCTCACGGAGGTTTCAGGATTCGTTGGATGAAGTTCCTTGGCTTCGGCAATTCCCTCTACTGGAGGTCGGTCTGCACATACATACCTATACATACATACATACAACATACAGATATACATACAGATATACATACATACATACATACATACATACATACATACATACATACATACACACATACATACCTACATACCTACAGATATACATACATACATACGTACATACATACATAACTATGTACATATGTAGCGCATGTACTTATATAGACGCATGAATCACACCATGCATTCACAGGCGCGTTTCGGTGCATTGCATTGCACTGCATTACCATATCCTATCTTGCCTCACCTCGGCTAGCCTTACCTTCCCTTCACCTACCTTACCTGACCTGGTGACAGCAAAACATAACAAACCAACGCAATACATGACCACTTCATAACAAACCAACATGTAGCATAACAGAGCATGCCATACCTGAACGCAGCATAGCAGGGCATCACGCACATTTATGCTGGCAGGCTCGGAGGCAGGAGGCAAACCACGACTTGGATGGACCGCCAGAACCAGTCAAACCTAATGTAGGGGCCTTAATAAGTAGAAGAGGGTATTGGGCTATACTCTACTATAGTTATAATAGGGAACCCCCAAAATTAAGGCCCCTGGATTAGCGTTCCGACAAAAGCAGCCGAGCAGGCAGTTCGACACGTTGCCAGCTATCTGAATCTGCCTATCTTTGTAAAGACAGATTACATACAAGACTAACACGTCTATTCACTGCATTTTTCTACGTGTACGCCCATGCATATTCCTACGTATATAAGTACATGGATATATATGTACATATGCGCCATACACGCCTGATTGTACAAGTCCGCCGTGCCTTCACGCATTCATGTGCAGACATATACATAAATAATATATATATATATATGTATGTATGTATGTATGTACACATGCATCCGCTATATCACACAACTCCAAGACAGATCTTGCAGTGGTAGCTGACTGCCATGGTCTGCAGCTTTTTGAGTAGGTCGTGCAGCCCGGGACAGTACAGGCCCTTGCGGGCTGTCTAGACACTTGGGGTAGCTTTGCAAATATGTGTTGGCTCTAAACTAGACTGACCCGAAGGGTCCATGTGCCCAAATAGCATACTCTGGCCCCAAAGTATACCTAAATCGGGACTATTTTGAGGCTCATTATAGTACAAGCTATTTGGGTAGATGGACACTTAAGGACTCAGGGTTAGACCAATCCATCTCTTCACTGCACATGCCAAGCTGCGCAATATCCACACCGAGCTCCCACAGGGAGCTTAGCACCACGATCGTGTCCAGCCACATCCACCTTGAAGCAAGGTAAGGGAATCATGCATTCGGTATTAAATTATATATTTCATGAAAACATGATCTGATATAATGCAACATAGTAATGTCGAACAACAAAACATTGCAATACCACATATGGCATAGTAAAGTATAAAGTACAGTAAAGATGACACACCACAATAGACTACAGTCTCATCTAGTAATATAGTATGGTAAACTAAACTACAATACAGTGTAGTAGAGTAGAGCATGTGTAGTACAATCAGTTCTTGCATCATTAATATACTTTACAATACTTTACTATAGTATTTCCAATCAGTTATCTACCATAGTGTAGCGTGACATACTCAAATTGGCTGACATAGTGTTTCCAAGGCACGTCCCGGATGCACAGTTTGGAGTGGCCGGGTGCTGTAGGTCAACTATGTTTAGTCTACCATAGTTAACAGTTTGTGATCTTGTAAGATGTTAGAACATATTCGAATATCATGTACTACAATATATATATATATATATTATTATTATTATTAAGTAGTATAATAGGTTAACTTATTGTATAAGTTGTGGACTCAACATGACGAAAACATCCAAAAGAGCAGCGACCCGAATGGGCCGGCAGAACACCCTTCGAACGAACCCTACCTACGGTCTCCGTTGTAGTTCTTTTTTTCGGTTTAACCAGGTTTAGAATTAGGATCCTGTACGGCAACCCCAAAAGGGAACTACGATGGAGAGCATAGGAAATCCCAGCTCAAGGTCCTAAACGCATCCTGGCGTTGTCAGGACAGCAGCACCGATCAGCTCGGATCAAGGCTGTGAGCGAAATCGATGCGACCACTACGAAGCCTTAAAAACACCCAAAGGGTCCAAGTTACTAGTATAGTATATACTTGTGGGGCCCAAACACCTACTGAGTATCTACTTGTATGGTACTTGGACCCTTTGGGACAGATGAATCACATCGCAACGGATTTCGGATCTAGGACAGGTGGGGCTGAGGGCCGGCACTGATGAATTCAGTCCCCAAGAGAGCAACACCTGTTGCACACCACCTGGGTTCAAATCAAGCCGACCTTGGGCCTATCAAACTCAAACATGGATGGTAAAGCAACACGAGCAAACTCCTGCAGTTGTCTTAAACAACAGACTGGCACTTCTTGCGCGCAGGAAAAGCAACAGCAACAATGCTCCCCATTGTTGGTTGTTGCTTTGGGTCTCTCGCCGCGAGTCTTCGAGTCCTTTTGCATTGCGACAGTATCAAACATGTTCTTCTCTCAGAAGTCGTAGTCTGTCAGACTCGTGGGAAATAACCAGTGCACCCACGCATACGTGTGCGCATGTATGTATGTATGTATGTATGTATGTATGTATGTATGTATGTATGTATGCGTACACACGTACGTGACTACGGACAGGCAGACATCAAAAAACATACATACATACATACATACATACATACATACATACATGCATGCATACATACATACATACATACATACATACATACATACATTACATGCGTTTACTCCTCGGTGTTAGAGGAGGCGGTATTGAATCTCTGCATGGAGTTCTGATATGCTCGCAAGCTTGCCGCGTAGCGGGCAACTGCCCGCATGCTGCATGAACAAAGAAGTGGTAGGCTTTCAGTAGATGAGGGGTCAGGGCATGTGGGAAAAGCTATGGGTATTTGCTACGAAGCGGAAAGCCAAAGCTGTCTCTGGGTGCACCACATCCAGTCGTCTCCCAAATATTGTCGAAATCCGTCTGCCAAGATCCGCAGCCTGAATTTGCTTCATGCGGTAGACAAAGCCCCGGGATGCCGCGTTTAGTTTGATTCATGTTCGCCGAACTCAAACGGTTTTGAGTGTCGCGGTGCCCGGCGTCAGACGATTCGCTGCTAAGCTGGCAGGAGACTGCTCGAAGATTGCATTGCAAGGCAATGATACTTTGTCTCTACCAGGGGCACTGTGAATGCAAGCCCGTTGGGACCGTTCGGCCTCAAGCCTCCGACCACAAATCGGTAGTTCTCTAAATTAGGGTCCACAAATACCACGGCTCGCTTAGCAGAAGAATCCTGAAAGGGGCCCTAATTTAGAGAACTACACAAACCACTGCACTGACGCCCTCAACTCTAAACCCTAAACCCCCATCCTTAATCCCTGAACACTAAACCCTACTGTTGATGATATAAATCCTGCCTTACCTGAATAAGGACCCTAAACTATGGGAATTATGGTATGTTCCTTATTATGGATAACGCAGGATTTATATCATCAACCCTAAATTTCCCCAAATCTTAAGACCCGGCCCTCTCATCCCAAGCCCCTAAACCCTAAACCCTAAACCCTAGACCCCCTAAAGCCCTAAAAACACAGCCCAAGCAGCAGAAGCTCGATGAAGAAGAGGCCAACGAAGACGTCTCGAACAACCTGCAGACGAAGGGTTCCTATAAGGTTCCATGGTTTAGGGTTTTTTCTTTTGGGTTTTAGAGTTTAGGGTTCAGGGTTTAGGTTCCATGGTTTAGGGTTTTTTTCGGAGAGGCCTAAAAACTCAGATGGTGAAGCCGTGATTTCGTTTTATGAGAACAGTGGAGAGGCAAAGATACAAATAACGCAGTCAAGATGTCTTATCTCACATAACGGTGAGACGTGGAATTCAAGTATAACCCTGACCCTTATAGCAAACCTAAACCTGTTGCTAAAACGTATACTAACCTCTCTCAACCATCATAGAAACAGTTCCAGGCCACCAAGCGATGAAGCTATGCTTTGCGCGCTGGGCGAGGCACTTCTCCGACATAGAACTACATTAAACCTGAAAGTACCATTATTGAAAATCGTGACATAGCAAAGAAGAGCTAATGACAGCAATAACAAGGGTTTTCCTACTAGTGATCATGACAGTAGGATAACAATATCCCTTAACTTATAAAATATTAACAACATCAGCAACCATCCTCATCCTCATCACCATCACTATCATCATCATCATCATCATCATCATCATCAACCTCATCCTCCTGACAATAGTCGTTGAAACCAGACCACCACCAACAACAGCGGAAGCAACAACAATACCAACAACAGCAGAAGCTGCAGCAGCAGCAAGAAGGACAGCACACGAACACCTCCGCTACACAGCTCTCCGCTGTCCAAGCGACAACCTACCCAAAGGCCCCTGGCCGAACTGCCAAAAAAACGGAGCGGCAGCCTGAAACAAAATCCTTAACGCCCCGACTCTGAACCCAAGCATGCGTTGCCTGCACTGCCACATCCGGAGGCTTTCCATAATTGTCCAACAATATCTGGACCTCGATGCCGATGAACACCTGGCAGGGCTCGTAGGAGTAAGCGTAGGAGTAGGAGTACGCAGTAGGAGTAGGAGTAGAAGTGGGAGGAGTAGGAGTAGGAGGAGTAGGAGTAGGAGTAGGACGAGTAGGAGTAGTAGTCCTCATTGTCGTCTTAGTCGTGGTAATTGTGGCACGAGTACGATTACTAGTCGTAGCTGTTGTACGTTGTAAGTCGCAAGTAAGCAGGAAGAAGGGAGCAAGGCGCAGTATGCAGTCAGTAGCAAACAGCGAGACGTAGGTGGAACACAGCAAGTACAGTAGCAAGCACCAAGACCAAGAAGAGCCTACAGCAAGTCAACGAGACAAGTTGCCGAATTGGCGATCACGGCCAGTGCAAAGAAAATGTCAAACGCCGGATGGTCCACGATCCTGGCGGCCATGGCATCGAAGCTTTCAGGCAAAAGCCTTAGTGGAGAAAGAGCACCCACAAGGGAAGATGGCAGGACACACACACACACACACACACTTGCTGCCTGCAAAAACGGAACCTGCTTGAAAAACAAAACGGTGCTTCGAGCAACCTGAGGCCAGACACTATGGGAAATCAATTATGCAACATCCCCGTCATGACGATCACCTCATGATCATCATCATCATCATCATCATCATCATCAACGTCATCATCATCATCAACATCATCATCATCCTCGTCATCACCATTACCATCACCATAGTCACCATCACCATCAACAGCATCATCATCATCATCATCAACAACATCAACATCATCATCATAATCACCATCATCATCATCATCATCATCATCATCCTCATCCTCATCCTCATCATCATCATCATCATCATCAACATCATCACGGGCATCACGATCACTATCATTATCGTCGTCATCAGCATCATCGCCAGCACGGACGTCATGGCAAGTACTTTGTTTTTTTAAAATCAGTTGCAACATCCTCATCATCCTAAACCCCAAAACATTACCACCGAAGCTTCCCGCGCCGCTCTCGGTCCTCTGAGCACATGAGCTGGTCTCGCGCTTCCCGCGAGTGCCGGTGACAAATCCGAGGTCGGCAAACCTCCAGGAATCCGTGTTCAGCTTAGGGATTTTATATAGGGGCCTTAATAATTAGAATAGGGTTTCGGGGTATAGTATACTATAGATACAACAAGGAATCCCAAACCAAAATAGGGGACTTAAAAATTAGAATATGGTTTGGGCGTATAGTATACTGTAGATATAATAACTGCACAAATTATAATAATTTCAACCCCAAATTAAGCAGGTGACGTCGCGGCTAATTTCCGCAGCGGTCGCTATTCAATTTCAAAATCGAAATTAGTGGGTTTGGGGCTGGCGGCGGAGTAGAGCAGCAGCAGCGGCAGAAGTAGTAGTAAGTAGCAGCAGCAGTAGCAGCAGCAGCAGCTGCAGCAG